CTGTGTACGCGCGTTTCGTCGAGAGTAACGGCTGTACACAGGCTATGAATTTGCAAACCTCCCGTTTATCTGTCTAGGCGTTTTTACAACTCACAAGCCTTCTCGCAGTTCACGATATTTTGAAACACTAAATACTTTCTCCAAAGGTCCTGGGCCCTGGCAATTTAATACTTACGATTCAATTGTTTCTAATGTAAATATCCCTTTAAAACGAAAAACGCCATTGAAATATACTCACAAAATGACCTTTGCAACGGGGGGCTTGAATGTCGTCAACACATTACACAAACCAAAATAATCATACATTTACTCACCATGATTCGAACAAGACTATTACGAAGAAGATACGTCGCAAGGGGCCGGAGTTGTGTTTGGCGAAAGGTATGGCAAGATTATATTTTATTCAGGCAATTGAGCATATTAAATTTGATAATTTATGATCTTGCTTGACTTTCAAAGGCCATAAATCGCTACAATGTTGATATTGACTAAAACCATCGTTAGGAATTAGTTGATATTGTTCCACTGAATCAAATAGTGGTATCTTCATAGCATGCATGCACTGAACCGAAGATATGATATGAACATGCAAAGTCGTCAGCCGCCTGCGTCCTACGATAATTGCAACCTGTTAAAGGGTCAGTAATTAATAAAAGTCGTTTGTTTTTCTGATTATTTCTAACTGACCCGATCTAAGCAAAACAAACTCAAAAATGCATAAAATTATGGAATATATAGTCTTTGACTGTGACAGTGTAGGACTGTAGGTAGAACCTTGGCTGGCAATCTCGAAGCCGGTTCTCCTTGACCTTATATATTTTTCTGGACAATTCTGCAGGTAGTCGTATATATCCCTAGCCTCCTTGCCGTCTGCGCAACGTTAAAATATGTTCTCAAAAAAATTTATTTCATATCAGTAGGAAATACAACGAAATACAATATAATTATGATAATAATTAAAATAACTCTTTCCCGTTATTTTCTACGCTCCTGATAAATATTTTATAGTTATTGTCAATATATTGATATGAATTAAGATTTTTTGAAAACATATTTTAACGTTGTAAAACTATGTAACAAAGCTGCCTGCGGAGGAGGCTATCGTATTCCAATCAATCTGCATGCACCTTTCTTATTAAAGTGACATGACTAACCGATTACCAGGTCTGGAGTGAAGAAGTCAGCATTTGAAGTAACCGCTGTCTTTCCACTCAAGCAGTAAACTGTTCAGGTTTTAGTCGAAAGTCGAAACTATAGGAACGTTTTCAGGTAGAGGTCAGGTAGATATCATCACTTAAACAGTATGGCTCAGGCGTTGAGATTTGCGTGCCCCATACTCGTATGTGTAATCCCTGCACACTTTATTTGAGCATTTTTTAGCAAAATTGGCTCAAATGTATAAGCAAATTTACTCAACCTTTTGAGTAAAGATTTACTTTTAGTCTTTACTAAAAAAACACGAGTATATTTGCTCATAAATTTTAATTTTACTCAATACTTTGAGTCATTCATGCGTCTGTGGGTACATTGTAATATTTTGCTTGAGTCAAAATTTTTTGCAGTGTGGGTTTCCCCAGTAACAATCCTAACAGTCATGCTAGTGATATGAACACGGGGTAGCTATATACAGTACATATAGTGCGGATATGAGCACGGGGTGGTGATATGAGCATGGGGTATGTGATATATTATAAGCACGGGGTAGTGATATCATTGATATGAGCACGAGGACATATATAGTATATCACTGTGACACAGCGGTATATTTTGTCGCCAAATTCGTTCGCGCAATCGAATTCCACGGTTCACTTGCCAGTTATATCTGTCGCGCCCGAATTCGTCTGATTTCATCTGGAGAATCGAGAACGGAACGTCGGAATTGCCGTGATTACAGCTAGAGCACCGGAGATCAGCGAGACAACAATATTATTCCATATATGATCATTCATATGTATGTGATATCATGTATGATTGCCCATGATTAGATCTAGCTATCTAGTGGGCCCTAGGACGTGCGACCATTCTCCGTTTGTTGATGCAATGCCAATGGCCACTGAATTCTAACATTAAATGTATTTAATGTTTAATTTTTGTTACTTGTACTAAGACGTTCTAGGATTTAAACGATTTAAAGCTTGTCAATTATTTATTATCAAAGTAAATCTTATACTGTCTGCCCATAAAATATAAAAACATTGCTATTATAATATGAAAAATACGTTCCAAATTGGAACGTCATTAGCTTATACAAATTTACAATGCTCACTGTCCACTAGCACTGTCAGTTCAGAATGTGGATTGTGGCATTAAATTACGTACTTTTGAAAATGTGGCAAGTGAACGATACAATCATAGTGCGGAATAATTTTGAAAACACATAAAAACGACCCTGAAATGGCACAATAAAGTCAATATTAAAATAACCAAAACCCGAACAAATTTGGTAAACCTTTTCAAAAATTCACAAAAAAGCTCCCGTAGTCTAAATCTAAAGAATAATGAATAACTATGTCATTGAGGAACATGTAATGTAATAATATACCTGGTAAAGATTATAACACGCAGACGAATATTTTTGATTTATTTGCTGTTCTTGTAGTTGATGCAATTCGTCGGCTTCGTATTTTCGTTGTCTGTAAACGCGAGAAGCTGTTTTTCGCACTAGCTCAAAAACTTTGCTCATTTTACCGTAACGCTTCAAGCCAAAGTATAGAATGAGGTTATCGCATCTTACATGTAAGTTTAATCAGCGCCTTGCCGCTTGGATTCGATGTTGAATTATTAAAAACGCGGGGTATTAATCACACGCGGTGTCAAGTTATTTTTTTAATAAACCATTTGTTTGCACGGTTAATGGGCGTACTCTTTCGACACGTACAGACCTGTAGAATGACAACTGTATGATAACGCTATTAATTAACAAGGAAAATGTTTAATCTGGCAAATCTGGGTTCACAATGAGCGAGATAAACAGAACTAAAAAGCAGGCAGAAAGATGCAGTGAACTGATGTGCAAGACGTAATTGCTTCGACATAAACATGCACTAGCATACTGACAAAAAATAAAAAGTCAAAAATAAAATTCATATGACATATGCATCCCGCTTTGTACTTGCAAGTTGCAAAAGTCATGGTGAAAAGAGAACCGTTAGAAACCCATTCGATGTGCATATTAAGCCACGCGGTCTTGCCCCCCCCCCCCTTCTACCTTCAAATGTTCAATGTGTTTTTTAAAATTCTAAACGTTGACTGTGTTGTAAATACTAAATACGTACCTTTAAAAATTTCCCACTGGCACTGCTACTGGATAGCATATCGCAGACCCTATAGAAGTTGTTGGAAGGCTAGGTTAAACACGTCCGTGACCGAGTTATAAACATACCATGCTAGTACTTGCTAGTACTTAATTTAAACTGAAGATTCAGTCTACAACAGTATATAAATATATAAATGTAACGCTATATATCCGCTGTATATAAAATCATTGGAATTTTATTGGCTATTAATCATTTTTTCAATACTAATTTATAAAATCAAATGCCAATAAACAATGCCTACATATTTTATGAGCTCTTACCATAGTAATTAGAAGAACAGGTTGGGGCGCAACTCACTGTAAACTGGCTGTACGTTACCAAGCCCATGCAGTTGCAAGGAAGGGAGAGATCCTTATTAATTCTGAAGAAGACAATCACACTTAATTCCCCTTTTATATTAAATAAAGTCTTCAATTCCATTCTTTTAGATTCTGTCTACTCTGCCCTCTTTGAAGTAATTTATATACTGAAATTCAAAGAATCAAGAAAAATCATAAGCGTGTCGTATCTTTATATATGTGATAGAGAGGCCATTACATTTATAACTAAGAATTTTAAAACATTCGCAATGCGTGTTTTATCAAACCTAGCTAAAGATACTCGGCTTCGCCTCGTATCTTTATATCTGATAAAACACGCACTGTGAATGTTTTAAAATTTTTAGTTATAAATGTAATGGCCCTAAAACTTAAAAGGGAGGTTGGTCTTGTCGGGGTGGGGAGATATAAAAAAATGGTCATCAACTTTAGGGTTGGAGGTCATATTAGGGTTGGGGTTAAGATTATGGTTAAAATTATGGTTAGGATATTAAGGATAGCGTTTGGATAACACCAATTAATAGATTATTGCCCACCGGCCACACGACGTTGTTTCAACGTTGAAATTTGGTAGAAAAGAACTTGCGACGTCGACAACCTAATATCTACGTTGCTCTGACGTTGTTTTACAAACGTTGATTCAACAGCAGCCAACAAACGTTGAATTAACATTCATTCATGGTTAAATGTACGACGTCGATTTGTGAACCAATCTCAACGTTGTTTTAACGTGGATTCAACGTTGAATTATGGTTGACGAGATTGGCAACCTAATTTCAACGTTGTTTCAACGTCGAAACAGTAACGTCAATCCAATTTGCATAGTCAACCCTTTTTTAACGTCTATCCAACGTCTGGAAGGTCATTTCCAACGTTGATTCAACGTTGGATAAACGTCATTTTGCCCGCTGGGTGGTTACAACGTGCGGAACGACTGGAACGGTAGCGAAGAAGGATGTTCTGTTTCTCTGTGCATAGCCCATGAGAAAAAACTTGAAATCCTTTCCATTTAAGATGGTCCTAAGTTGAAAACAGTGTAGTTGCGACGTAATTATCGAAAGGGTGTATTGAGTATTGACGAACTTTGGTTGCAAGTAACATGTTACGCTGGAAATTATCATTACAAATCGAATTGAATGACGTCACCTTTTATACTCGGTCGACCGACATTATGATGTCATCAGTATAAAATTGGTATATTCGGGTAATCGGTAATTTCCGGTTGAGGCGCAATCGGTCAATCACACTGAATATTACTAATAGTAATATTATAGTAATATAGTATAGCTCAGTGGTCAATCACTTAGCCTGCGAGCAGGCTCTCTATCAATCGATAGGCAAAGATTCGGTTAAAAGCAGCATCAAAATGTCTGTGCAACGTGTAGCAGTTGTAACAGGAGGCCACAAGGGTATTTGCTACGAAATTGTCAAAGCATTATGCTCGCAATTTGATGGAATAGTTTACTTGACGGACAGAGACGAGAAACGCGGCTTGGACGCATGTAAGAAACTGGCCAAGGAACTGATGAAGGAAGGTTGTAAAAGCCCACCTAAATTCCACCAGCTTGATATCGGAAACGTGAAGAAAGCATCGAAAGGTTTCGAGATTATGTAAAAGTAGACGGGCTAGATGTCCTTGTAAATAATGCGGCCATCGGGCCATCGACACGTACAAGTACAAGAGACAATGCACGGCGCCTTTTGCCGAACAGGTAGAGAATACGATCAGAATAAATTTTATTGGTACTTTAAATGTGCGCAGATTATTATTTCCTTTAATTTGCTCAATCTGCACGCTAAAGTGGTGCATGTCACACCTATGACGAGGGGAATTCACCTAATTCCAAGTGAATCGTTGCAAAACGAGTTCAGGAAGCCCGATCTTACGGAATCGGAGCTTGTTGCGACATGATCATGAGTCGAAAGGCCGAGCGGCCAACGAAAGCATACGATGCCATATCGAAGTTGGCCATAACAATCCTTACTACTATTCAAGCTCGAGATCGTCCGTATATCACAAAGACACGGATGTCATGCATGTGCTTATTAACTGTTCCATAATATCAGTTCTATTTTTTCTATTATATTACAATGCTGCTTTTCTATACTTTCATTCTATACGATAATATTTCATAATCCTATATTTTATATCATGGCACAGGTCTATAGCAAAAAAACTGAGTGAAATGAAAAATCAAAGTGATTATAATCTTCTGCAATGCAACATTTCGTAAGAGTGATTTGGCTCTTTGTCACATAAATAACGTAACAATTCTGTTTCATTCATTCATCTTTTTCGAGTATAACTGACAGGCAACCAACTGCCATCAAGGCCTGCCCTGCAGCTGTCGCTGCAAAAGAAGCCAGTCCTGTCGCACCAAGAGATTGTAGATAGGCCACAAGACTCGCAGATGAAACGCCACCTCCACTAACAATTGCCGTCCATGACATCATTTTGGCTGCAAGTGTGCCTGCTCCAATACCAGCCGCACCAAAGCCAGCTGTTGTCACGGCAGCTGGGATACCTAATGCAACTACACCAGCAGCCATGACACACCGAAATGGTGATATTCTAAATCAGTTATAATAAAAGTAAAAATAGTAAAAGGTTAGCTTCTATTTGGTCAGTTGATCAAGTCAATGCATGCAAATTCGTCTTCACTCAGGATTGGAAAAATGTGTCGATATAGTGTCGTGAACGCGTCACACTCAAATGGAAGCCATAAAATAATATAGATTCTGGTACTTCTGGTCTTGTCTTGGGGGTATATCGTTAATTAGGCGTAAAAAAATACCTGTGGTTCCGGTTCCCGACTGATCCTATTTTTTTCTGCCGACCCTATTATTTTTTCAACGCGATTGACAGTGCGACCTTATTTTCTCCAGGTGGTTGCGTGCTGCTCACTAGCGTGCCAAAATGGCGTCTGTTGTCACACTAATTATTGAACCAAATTGCCTAAATTCATCCATAGGAAATACGCATCTCTAGTTAATATTGATGTCGGGACTCTACTGCAAATCGCCCAGCAAAAAACCGCCAAAACCATGAAAAAATATTAAAAAAAAATATTTATTTCCGACCTACCGACCCTAATTTTTTCACGATATGAAACCGGAACCACAGGTAATTTTTTTTACGCCTTATTGCCTAGTTATGTAAATCAGCAGGATTTTGTGTCAGGTTTACAGGCTTCTTGAAGGTCAGAATGGTCGTATTAAACGATTATAAAGAAAACAAGGTGGCCGATGTAAACGAATGCCAATGAAGACAAGAGCTGTCATATAGCTGGTGTCGTGGTGAGCCAACCACAATATAGATATACTTACTTGTATTTCTTTTCCTTGGGCTTGGCGGTTGGCTGAACAAGCAAAGAAATGAACCATATTAAGTACACAATTACAGCGATACAGGCATGAAACCTAACTAGTATATATGCTTATGTATGTGTATGCAACCAACAACTATTACATGTTTATAGGCTAGCCTGCAGGTGCTACTTGAAATGTGAGCAATGCGTGACTGTAATATCGATCCGTCGCTAATTCTCGGACAAATAATCACATGTTTTCTCCGATCCTAGTTCGTGTTATTGATTTTTCATCTTCATATCCATTAGCAGAAATTGACTCTACAACTGAAATCTTCATGTTTGGACATTCAGGGCGCGAGTTACGGCGTTTTCAAGGTAAATTTCACTGCAGCGGAAATTCCATGTAGTAAAAATAAAATTTTCAAATCGCCGTACCTCGCACCCTGAATGTCCAAACATCATAAGATTTTCGATGTAGACTAATTTGAGCATGAAAATTTCAATCCTGGGGTCCATTTTTGGCAAAGTTCTGTAGATAGTGAGAAGAAAAATTGATGACGCCAATTCCAGATATGATACCGCAGGTAATTATTAAAGATTTATAATTTCAAAAACACTTACCGCCAAAACAACATTGCAATTCATAAGAGAAACACAGATGAGAAGAACAAAACCTTTTCTAGAAAACCCCTTCATGTCTTTCCCTGCAGTTTGCGCTCGATCTTACTTTGTTTTCATAAATCGTTTGCCGTCAATATTTGCTAGCTCTTGTCAGGACAAGTCTTGTCTCATACTACCTACGCAGACTACGCAGTTCCAGCTCTCTTTATAAGAGGTAGGGAATCTTCGAGTTAAGCCCCTCGAGTTAAGCCCTTCGAGTTAAGCCCTTTTCGAGTTAAGCCCCGACCACGCCCAAACCACACCTATTTTCGTCAAGGTCTTTTAACTCGAAGAAAGAAACACAACTTGGAAAGTTGAAAATATTCGACGCTCGAGTTAATCCCGATGATCGTTGAGTCGCCCACAATCTAGCTGGAAATAGTTATCATACGTCTCGGCTGAAGTTGCCTTAAATAAGCTGCAGCCTAAATGAGTCACGAACAACTCGTATAAACAGTTAAGTTTCATTAGGTAACAGATTATTTTTGTACCTTGTATTTTTTTGTACCTCTGAGCTTATTAGTTATTACGAATAAATTGACCTCGCGGTTTTATTTCGCGTAAAAGGTCAATTTATTCCTAATGAGCTCAGAGGTATAAAAGCTAGTCCAAAATAATCTGTCACTTAATGAAAATTGACTATTTATACGAGTTGTCCTGCAGCTTATTTAAGCCGAGTAGTATGACAACTATTTCCAGCTAGATTGTGGGCGACTCAAATCATTGCTCTTTTACATGTATGCCTCAAATGTCAGGGACTCAGGGCTTTAACTCGAGCGTCGAATATTTTCAATGACTTCGAGTTAAGCCCCTCTTTTTTTTTCATGGGGCTTACGAAATCTATCATTATAGCTTAAAAGAACATTTTCAAATTAGTAAAACTGCTAAATTTGGTTGCAAGATGTTGTAAAATACGATAAATAATATATATATATATATATGTATATATATATATATATATATATATATATATATATATATATATATATATATATATATATATATATATATATATATATATATATATATATATAGCATGGCTTGAGGGAGATTAGTGATTAAATGGCCCCGTAACCCGAGGCAGGTTTGCGGAATCCCCGAGGGCGAAGCCCGAGGGAATTCCGCAAACCTGCCGAGGGTTAGGGGCCATTTAATCACTAATCTCCCGAAAAGCCATGCTATTAGTTTGTAATAGCATAGTTGCGCTCCCATTTAAAAATGGACAAACATGCCCTACTTGGAATCAGCGTATTTAAGCTAAAACATTTGCTTCATTGCTTGTGGGATGTAAAAGCTTGTTGCACATGCGCACTTTTACGCTTTAATCGGTTACGCATGCGCAATCTATCATTTAACGTACCACAACAAACACGCTAAATATATTAGTATAAATTTGGAGACTGCACGTGCGTAATTTAAATGATGCGGCAACTCAGGGATCGGATGATAGACTATTGACGGCTCTGGGCTAACTGTTGCTGTTCCTTGCACGATTATGTGCGTGAGGCACTTGCCTAATGCGTAGTCGTCAGGGAGACAAAGGTGTGACCCTTGGTAACGGGCGATTAGTTCTAATCGCCCGCTCTAGCGGGCGATTAGAACTAATCGCCCGCTACAGCGGGCGATACGTGATTAAACGTCCCTGTTGAAACAAAAGAACCCGGGGCAACTATGCTATTACTGCAAGATCATCAATACCGGTCCTACTGTATATACCTTCGCAATCAGTTCTAGTATATTCACTCTTACAAGTGCAAAAGAAATATCCATCATTGTTAGTGCAGGTTGAGTTTGTATGACAGTGGTCAATTGACAAAAAAACAATCATTGACGTCTAAAGACATATAAAAGTAGTGGCCAGTAACACGCTACGAAGATGCAAATGTTTTTTTTTAAAGAGATCATCAGCAACAGGCAAGGAGCGAGCATCGCGATTTTGAGCTCCGTTTATAAGTTTACAAATACTGATATATTTAAAATTTATATGTAACCTTTGAGTGAAAGGTTGTGGAGCTACTTTGAATTTATGTGAAGTCCTCTGAAATTGATTGCTGATAATTTATTACGTTTTGATATCATGTCAAAGACTCGCTCGAAAGTCGAAGGCGAAGGGTGTCATGTCAATCTTGATCAAAAGATAGAATCTTTTATGAAATCAGATGATTTTAGAGCAGTTCTTTCTACAGCAATTAACGTCGCAGTCGAAGCGGCTATCAAGTGTTTGAAGAACGAATTCGTTGAACTAATCGATGTTAGAATGAAAGCGCTCAAGGACACGAATACTCGCTTAAAACGTGAAGTATCAAAAGTTGGGTGAAGTCGATCGATGCTAAAGCGAATGAAAATGAGCAATACTCTCGCCGAAACAATCTATGTTTCTGTGGTATTATCGAGAAAGAACCAGAGGACTGCTACGATGAAGTTGTGAAACTTTGTGATCGCGAGTTGGGAGTGGCAAACGAGCGAAAGGAAATTGATCGTGCTCACCGAATCGGTAAACCCCAGCACGACGATGGTTGTCCTCGTGCTATTATTATCAAGCTTAAAAGCTTTCACAGCAAGCTATCAATATTAAAAAACAAGCGTAGGCTGCAGGAGAAATCTTTGTGTGCGAATGAAGATTTAACAAAAATCAACCAGCAATTGTTGATGTATGCGAAAGAAAAGTGCCGTGATACAGCTTCGGTCTATACCTCTGATGGTCATATCTTTGTTAAGAGAAAATATGATGGTACAATTTGTATTATTAAGCGAAAAGAGGACTTCAGTACATATTCATGATCGATAATCTCCTTCCTTTACTTTTTACTCAATTTCATTATACTTTGTTAGTTATGAGTGCTTTTTCTAATACTTGGTCCTTTATTGTGTTTATTCTTCTTGTATCTAATTGTTTAACTATTGAGCAGCCCGAGGTAAGTTTATATTAGTATTTTAATCCCAATGGAGCCTAGTTTGATAATGCATAGAGCAGCTATTTGGACTCTTATTAGTCAATTTTTATGCATTGAAGATAAGGTGGCGGTATGCAACTTAGCTTATTTAGTTTTGTTAATTCTATTGCCTGAATGAGATGTTGAAATTAACCCCGGTGCACGTAATTTAACATTAAATATAGGCCATATTAATGCTAGACGTTTGAATGTCGAAGACAAATTTGATGAGATTTCGTCTCTTGTTATCGAACACAAACTAGATATTTTTGCTGTTTCTGAAACTTGCATGGTTAAATCAGAGTATTTCTGGTGATTTATTATGTGTACCAGGCTTTAGTCCAATGTTTAGATTGGACAGAAAAGATGGTAGGAGAGAGGGGGGTGTCGCATTGTATGTTTCTTCTAGTTTAGCTTCTATAAGGCGTAATGATTTAGAACATGATGATTTTGAATTATTGTTTGTTGAAATCAAAGTCAATTCTTTAACATTTGTTTGTGGTGTTTGTTATCGACCACCAAATAATAAATCGGTACTTAATGATGCTCTCTTGGATCATTTACAAATTTGTGTAGATAGTATAAATGCTAGACCCGGCACTTTTGTTTTACTTCTTGGGGATTTTAATGCTCATTTTGACGTAAACGACATTCAGTCTAGTAGTGACTTCGGAATAAATTTTTATAAGTAGATGGAGTGCAATAGCTTTTTTCAAGTGATAAATGAACCAACTCGTATAACAGCACACGGTGCCTCAATACTTGATTTAATTATAACAAATTCCCCGCGATATTTTATTAATTCTGGCACTCTAAACCCTCCGTATAATTGTGACCATTCTTTAGTTTATGCTCGGAAAAACATTTCCTTTGCCAAACAAAAATTTATAAACGACACATTTGGGACTTATAGCCAAAGTAGATTCTGATACGTTATGTCAAGCCTTGTCGGAGGTGAACTGGGACAAGTTATTTCAGGATGTTGAAAATGTTGATGGTTTATATAATGCGTGGTTTAATTGTTTTGAGCAAGTGCTCAAAACCTTTGTTCCGCACAGAACAGTTGAAATTCGTCCAAGAGATAAACCTTGGATGACTTCTGAAATTAGGCGTGCAATTCGCAAAAGAAATAGGTTGTTAAAAGTATTTGGGCGGCTGAAAAATTTAGTGGCATGGGAAAATTACAGATTGCAAAGAAATTATACAACATCGTCAAAACGTTCAAGCAAGGAAAGATACTTTCCAAATTTTAATGTAGAATTACAGAACCCAAATATTGGACCGAAAAAGTGGTGGGGGTTAGTGAAATCACTCTATGGTAATAAAATACAATCGGGAATCCCTACATTAATTGAATATCAATAATTTGGATTCTTGCACTTCACTTGTTGGAATTAATATTAGAATCTTAGGGTTTGTAATCCAAGTGAGAATATACACATTTTAAGACCTAACCAGGAACGACTGCGAAAAATGCAGCACAAGGTCCTCTGGTAGGAATTGAACCTACGGCCCTGCGATTCCGGTGCAGCGCTCTAACCAACTGAGCTACAGAGGCCAGCCG